TAGCAACAAGTAGCTATAAATTCCAAAAGCGCAATTAATGTAAAAAAATGAGGTGAAGGTTGAATAAGAATTAAAACTAACAGGAAGGCTAGTGAATATGGATTAGATAGAAATCATGCTAGCCTATTCCTAATTTTGCATCCTCCTTTAACAGTAAATAGGTTGAGAGATGTGTTCAACTTTTTTATTAGAATAACAATCTATACTTAATAAGTTGTTTTAATAAAATTTAGATAAATGGTGTACTTATTTAATAACTTTGATTATCAATGAAAATTATAGATCAAATTATAGTAGTTAATAAAAAAATAATTAACAATTTGAATTTATTATCATTCATAATTACTAATATTTTCTAATTTATATTTGCTTAGATTAATAATCCCAAGTCATCAAATAATCTCCATTTTCACTCATCGATCCGTATATATAATTATGCCCAAATTGAATAGATAATTAAGTTATAAATTCACCATTTTGGTTTTTTCTTATCAAATTAACATTTTTTCCGTTTTTATTAATAAGCAGATATTTCGACTTGATATATTATTATGGAAAGTAATAATCACATACCTCAGAATCAGATTTCACAGCAATTTGTGTTGTCTTTGAATACGAATTATTATGAATATTGATCTCATAAACATACATTTACTCTTTAAGTCTAGGTTGAAATGTGAATACATTATCATTAATGAAACATATTCTATAACCATAATAATCAACTGTTATCTTTTATATAACATTCCATTTTTAATCCTATTATTACTACTCTATTATTAATATAAAAAGCATTTCATCTCCACAAGATATCACTCTATTTTATTTTTCATTCAAACTTAATGCTACAACTGATTTTGTAGAATCTGTAATAGTTTATGAACATGTCCAATCGTTCTTTTTTGTCCAAAATTTAATTGTTTTATCACTACTTCCTGATATGATAAGATCTTCATTATTATTCAACAATAAACAATTAATCTAATAAGAATTTTAATTCAATTTGTATTAGCAGATCCATTAACTCTTTTAATCCATCCACCATATGATAATCTATTTATCCATACTTCCAGATATAAATTGAGTCGATTTCTTCATAAAATTTAAAGTTGTAACATTATCTTTATGTTCAGTAAGAAGTTGAATTAGTTTCAACTATTCTTGTTTAAATTCAAATACTTTGATCTTATTATCACATCCAGCTAATACAATTGAATTATCTTTATTTATAGCTATTGCATAACAGTATTCGCTTTATTGAATTTTATGATTCTAGATTAAATTATAAGTGAAGGGGTGTTAACTAGTAGTGTTTGAATTTTTTAATAATTCTTCGCACTTTTTTATCAATTCAAATGATTTGAAGTCATTCAACTTTTTAATTATTTTTTGATTTTAAGAGTGATTAATTTTGCTAATTTAATTATTTAAAGGTCTGTAATCAATTTCTCCAACTTCAATTTGATTAATTAAATTATCCAATTGTTCAAAAAAACTGTAATTGGCATTTTATTATCCAATATCTTATAAACATTTGATCCATTCATTTGTATTACCAATTATTTAATCTATTTATTAAATAATCTATGATCTTAATAAATATAATGTTTCCTAAAGTAAATTGATCTTTTTAATATTCATCATAATAATTTATTCTACTTATTCTACATTTTTCTTTTAATTTTCTTCGATTATTTAAGAAACCTTTTTAAAACTCATAACATTATTTAAATTAGATTCTAAATTATCCATGCATTCATTGCACAAAAGTCTTTAGTTCTTGTCTCTGTTTTTATCACAAACAACCATATATATTGGAAGTTTATGATTCATTGAACAGACAAGTTCTTCCTCTTTTTCTATCATTTTTTATTTGATCATTTGCTATTAAATAAAATATTAATTAAATTAATAATCAATTCTCTTTAATACTCCCAATATATCTTTCAAAATAATAGAGCTATTCAATAATATTCAAATGCATATTTATCAATTATTTCAAGTAGCTATTAAGATTGGTTGCCCAATTTCAATTAATTTTTAACAACTACATGTTTGGATGATTGCGAAAGAATGAATGAATATTTGATGTCAAACCTTATTCTTCTTTCATTAAATTATCTAAATTTTTCTTTATGTATTAGATTATTGTAAGAACCACTCAAAATACAAAGTGTCAATGAAAATTAATGTTCTCTACAGAGTCAATTATCTATACATCATATATTTAATATTTAAGGAATTTATATATATTTGTACTGTCTCTAGGAAATCAAAGCTTTAACAATATTTTTGTAATTTTAGGCATTATCATTTAATTGATCTAATGGTTTACTAGAAAAGAAGCCTCAGAAAGTGCAATTCTTTATAACCAAGAACGCCTCATCTCAAAATTGTAACAATTTTTTTTGACAGGATCTTTAATTTAACACCACTCGGAACAAAAAGTAATCTTCGATACCATTCTCAGCTAGTCTTTCTTAAATAATTAAGGCATCATCGAATTTCCTCATCCCATAGTTCTTATTATTCCTATCTTACCAGCATTAGACATTATTCATTTGCGGATCTAGACCTAGAGAAAATGAAACGGAAGGAGAACTGATGTTCAGGAGAATGTTTTTTAAATGGGGTCCTCCATATTACCCTAGTCCATAAATGACCTAATAAGACATTCAGCCGTCAAGGATTCTTCGTAGCTTGATTATTAGGTGGATGTTGATTTCGTATTAGCCTAATAGGGGCTTGATCCTTTAGACCCCGAACTGTAACTTTTTCCGGACATTTGGAATTTAAAAAAACAAATTATTTTTTTATTTATTCCAGTTTATCTCATTTATTATTATTCTTTTTATGTTTTTGAAGCTATTTTTTGAGGTGTCAAAGTCTTTTTTGATATTTCAACTAGCTCTTTAAAGGCTATCTATTTACTAGTTCTCTCTTATTCTTATGCGAATAAAGATTCTTCTTTAATTGTTGATCATAAACGTTAGCAATCGGGGTTTGTTTGAGCAGTTTATATCTACAGTTAAAAATTAGATAGCCATTCACCTCAAAGATATATGCATCTTTTATTAATTGAAAATTACTTGAGAGTAAAAAAGCCCTCCACCTCAATATTTTTTAAGCGGATTTATAAATAAAAGGTGTTTTTTAGATGATTTTTATTACTTACACTGATTAATTATTATAAAACAAGTTATTTAAATGAAGATCAACCTATCTTATTCATTCTCTTCTTTAAGTATTCTTTCCAAAGACTCCATTTTTTCTTACTAGGTATATCTAATTTAATCGATTACATTTCTTTGATCCTTAATATAAGTGTTAAATTTAATAAGGTATGCAATCTATTTACTGAGTCCTAGATTTAACAGACCAATCTCTACTCTATAGTCAATAGTTTAATTAAATAATGTTAAGCTTGAAGTCTTTAGGAATGCAGACTCTATAATACATATCTATTAATTTTATTATTCGAATTTCCGAAAATTTTTCTGAACCTCAGTCATCATAAACTTAAAAACGTAATTCTTCAATCAAGTCCGACTAGACGAGTAATAGATTGAATTCATTGAAGTACGCCATATGTGAGCTTTTTCGCTTAGAATTGAAACTTCTCAGTTACATTTAATTAACTCGCAAAAATTTTTCATATTGGATTGAATTGTAACTTAATGGAAATTCTGAGAACATCTTGAAGAAGAATTAAAACTCATTTAGTGGATATAGATGACATTAAAATTATCATTTAGGGAAATGTATTTTTTAGTTTAAATTAAAATTTGAAATCTCCTACTCATAAATTGTAATCAATAAATGTTAAAATTAGATAAGATTATAAAGCATAAGGAATAATAAAAAAACAATACTTGAATTATAGGATATAATTAATATAATTAATAAAACTATGACACAAAAAATAATTACTTTACTTTTATTCTTCAGATGAAATTAATTTAGCTCGTGATATCTTGAGTCTTATGACTAATTGGTAGCTATTATTTAATTATATTAATAATAATGCCTAAGTCTTTTTTCTAAATATTTTGCCTTAAGATTTTGATTTTAATTTATTTCATTTGGTAGTAATTTTCACTCTAGTTTGAGGTCTTCAAAACATATTCATAAAAATTATTAGATTTAGCTATTATTAACTTGAAAAAGTGGACTCTGATATGGGAGGAACTCGATTAGTTAGTCGGTTAAAGGAGGTGGTATATAATGCAAGTAATGCCAAAAATAAAAATACAACTCTGAAAGTATTTTTGCTTACTGATGGAGAGGATGATGCTGATCCATTTAAAAATTGGTTTAAAATACTAATCACACTAAACCAGAACCCACGCTTTAGGAATAGGAAAAGGATGTAGTTAATTCTTGATCAAAGGAGTGGCTCAAGTAGGAAATGGCAAATACTAAATTGTTAGTGATAACGAGGATATAGATGAGAAAGTTATAGACCTATAAGAAGATTAGTAAACACCATATTTACAAGCATTTAAATTAGAATCAAATATATTTAATGTAGTCTCTATCACTCCCAATCCAGAATCAAATGTTTGTTTAAAGAAAAACTAGGAAATTACACAGTTTGCTTTGGATGCTCTTACGGTAATTATGATAGATTCAGCTTGATCGCTTCCAATCCTCAACAATAACGACAATATGATTAATAAACTCAACGGTGGATTACTAATGAACTTACAATTTAATAACATGATATCAATTAATTAATATTATTAGAATGATATCATTGTAGAGATGCAATCGAAATAACCTGCTTTGGAATATTCAGCAGATAATTAAATTACTGTAAAACTAATTAATTAATGTCATAAAATTAAGATAATTTTATGTCTATTTCGAACTCTTAAGAAGAAATATATGAAAAATAATAAAAACCTATTTAGCAGAAAGCAATGCAAAAAAAATAAGCTTCTATACTAGTAATTTCTTTTTATAGTCCTTAATTTCTGATATGTGTTGATCTCAAGTTATACCATGAGAAAGAGCTGGCTCTTCAATATTTTAATAATGTAAAGGATTCTAGAGGTAGAGAGAAACTCTGTATTCCCATATTTCCCTAAGTTTTACCTTTCAACTTGATTTGTCGCTCATTAGTAACTCACTTTTTGGATTGTCTGAGAAGCGAGTCATTTTCTAAATTCTTCTTTTCTGCTGAGCTAGGAATTCTACAAAATCTTGCTCCAACGACTTCTACTATCTGTTCAAGTTTTCCTACACAATGATAGTTCACATATCATCTCTAGAATTATCAAAAAACAACATAAGACATCATAAGTCTCACATTTCTAAAATGTGGCTGGCACTAAAAGTTCATAATTTTTTATCCTTCTTACATTGATGAGTTTCTTTGAGTAAATGAATAGTAAGGAAGAACACTAAGTTTAATTGGTTTATCTCAAGCAAATGGAGAAGACTAAACAAAAAATTATTTGTCTTACCTTTAAAAGATTAAGGATATTGTATTTAAGAAGAATTACTTATTTCTTTTCAAAAAAATTTTTTGAGAATTTTCTTTTTTGTTAGTGGAAAGAAAGAAATTTTTAATCATTTATACGACCGTATTTTTTATTAGTTTAACTAAATTGGATACAACCTTAGATAAAATTGTGACTCAATAGATGATCAGGAAAATGCAAAATCCCCAAATTCCCTGGATCTAATAATTTTGGCTATAAAATTACTTGCCTATATGGATTGGGTTGTATTCACATCTTTTGGAAATTTAACACAGCGAGAACCTAGCTGGTATGAAATATACTTAGCATTACAAATACTTGAGTGACAAAATTAATATTAATTGCATTTTCCTAAGATTTTAAACTCTGAGCTTTAGTATGCCTAAAACTTAAAGCATAGTATAGGTATGTCGATTAAAAATGTTGAGAACAGAATTTGAAGGAAAAATAGAATATACAGAGATGGATTAACCTAAAATATCTTCATAATTTAGACCACAATTTCATTTGGAATCTCCTAATAAATGTTAGTGAAATAACATTAATAGAAGATGAATATTTAAGTTTGGTATAGAAACATTCTTTTTTTGGGATTTGATTGATATTTCTAAAGCACATTTTCATTGAACAAAATTAATTATATCTCAGCATCTTTAAGCCTAAATGTTAGAATTATTACTTCAATAATACTTAATTAATTCAATTTCGGCTAATTACACAGAAGTATTTCCATAGTAATAATTATTTTCTATATTTCATATTAGATACAGATACAAAAAGTGAGGGGTTGTGTTTAACTTCTGAACTTAAACTTTTTTTAATTCTTTGAAGCAATCTGTAGTTTCTAAAATCTCTTATAATAAATGAAATAACTAAAATTATTTGAGCTTTATAAATTTGAAAACAATTTTATGATTACCATAGGATTACAATTAATAAGGAATTGATGCTAATGGATCCTCTTTGATAACCCTGATTAAAAGGTTTAAAGATTGATATAATAATTAAATTGTATATACAATTTTGAGTATAATTTATGGTCAGATATATCAAAAACTAGCGCTAGAATTAAGTATATTGTTCTAAATAGAATCTGAAGAATTCTAAGTAAATTATTTTCTGATATTTTACGGAGGTAAATTGGATTCTCCAATAAGATAAATAAATCTATTAAAAAATAAATTTTATGCTTAAGAAACAACTAAACAAATTTGATTAGAATCCACTATTAATAAAAAATATACAGAAATATTTTATATTAATTTAATATTTGGACAATAGCATAATGAAACAAAAATAGATTTGAGCATAATAAAGAAGATAATATAAAGTATTTATCGTTTAATTTTTAATAAATTGATATCATTTTTTCTTAAAGGTTAAAAGAAAGGGATAATTATTCAGATATTACTTGTTACAATAAACAGAAAGAAATAGAATAAAAATAGAAAAATATTTGATTCCAATATATTAAGGTTTCATAACTTTATAGTTAGTTCTAAATATAGGTTTTTCATTTCATTCCTTTTCCAATGCTGCTAAATACAATTGACGAGCTTCTAATGTCATTCCTAATTGTAATAATATATAAGCTAAATTTTAATAAAACCATTTTATACCCTTATTTTTTAATCTATCAGGAGTAATTTATATATTTAGAGCTTTATCGAAACATTATATTGCATCCTTATATATCTCTAATTTGTGTAGTGCCAACCCTGAATAATAAAGTAATTTACCTTTGCTATTCCATGCTACATCATAATTTGGATTAATAGCAATAGCTTTGTCATAACATTCAATTGCTTCTTCATATTTATTCAGACTTTGTAATGCCTATCCTAATTTTCAATGATATTCATATACCTTCATTAAAAAATCTTTCGCACTCAATTATTTTCTATTCCTTTTTATCTTAAATTTCATCCTAAAGTTCTTTAATTTTGATTTTATTCTTGATTTCATTCTTGATTTCATTCTTGATATCATTCTTGATTTCATTCTTGATTTCATCATCAGAAATTCTTTCATTGCTACTTTAAGTTAAATCTGTAACCATATTCTTAATAGTTACAAGAATTTCATTTAAGTATATTATTTGTTTTTCTATTAAGTAACACTAATGAATACATATTTAATTTTCTTTTTCCTTTGTGAACATCTTTTTGATTATGTTGATTTATGACTTCACAACCAAATATTCTTTGTTTTAAAGTTGTTGTATCATCTTCTCTAAATTTTTAACATCTTATTCCTTTATTTTTAAAATCTATTCAAAACAAAGTTAAAGTGATTTTGAGATTTCTTTGAATTATTTAGTTGATTGATGGTAAATTTGTATGAATTCATGAATGTATTAGTTCATTTCAGAGAATCGAATACAATCCTTCTAATGATCTGAATGAGTTGTAGTCAAGCATTTATAACAATATTATGTTGTATTTTAACAGTTCTAATTCAAACAAAATCCCATTATTTCTTCATTTTCATGAGTGATGTATTTACACTTAAAGATATCCATCTTAATCTATAATAATTAAAATAACAATAATAATAATTAATATCTTAAACTTATGTATCATAAATTTACTATATTACTCTTTTATTTTATTAATAGTCAACTTGGCCTATTAATTTATTAAAATATATTAGATAAAATACTTATATATATGAAATTATTCATTAATGTTATTGTATTTTTATATCAATACTTATTAAGTTATTTCTACATAATTGATCAAATTCATTACATTATATATGATTTTCTTTAACTTTAATAATAAATTAATCAATATATACCTAACAAGGTCTAAATCAACTAAAAGTATTCTGATACTAGTTTTATCCGTCCTATACTATCTTAATTTCATAAAGAGTTAGATGAAAATTAATAATATTAATAAATAGAAAGTAGAGGATTCCAATTTAAGGGAATTTATAAATAAAACATGTTTAAAACTGCTCGCTCAAAAAGGATATAATTTTTAACAAATATTGCCTTAATAGAAAAACTGCAACGCTTAGCTTAATTTTTTTTTTGCGATTTTAAAAACTTATATTTTCTTAGAGCTTTGATAGAAATATGATTCTAATAAAAAATATTAAAAAACATTTAAGATATATTTAAATTTGAGGGCAACCCAAAAAAATAAATGCAGTTGTTGTTAACTTTTTAAATGCATATGTGTAAGCTTGAGTTACAAATATGAAAAGGTAGAAAAAAACACATATAAGTTGTCTATCATTATTTCATCCCAAATTTCTTTACAAGTATATTTCTTCATTAAGCTAAGATGCTCAATGCTGTCGATACTTCGAAATAAGCAAATCAAGGAAAACCTAGAGATTATTTACTAGAAAAAAATAAAAACCCATTATTCTTGCTGATGATCTACCAGAAATTGGGACAACTCAAAAACTAAAATGTTTTGCAAGAAATTTCATAATAGAAAACAGATTTGGACCTATTTTACAGTGATTAAAATAAAACTATTATGTGCCCTTATAAAAGAAGAGTTAAGGTGTAATACAGCTTTTTTTAATCTCAGATTATCAAATCAAAAGGGATTTATAAAATATTACCATGACTTAGAATGATGCAAGCTGCCTATCCATTTTTTAGAACTATAGTGAAATGGATGTTAGTTTATACAATAATCATCTCATTTTCTTTTTGTAGCATTTTGGTACAACTAATTACATTCAATAACTTTTTGGAAAGTTTGATTTACATGCTTCATCTTTGAATTATAATGGGTGAGTCTGCGGATCTATCTGAGAATGCACTCTAAAGTAAGTGTCTACTCCAAACATCCATCTAAATCACCACGCTATATCAAACTTTCTCATCAATATACTTCTGGCTATTCTTTTGCTATTCTTGAAAATTGGCTGAAGTCAATTCATTAGGCTGGGTTAGAAGTAATAGTGTGAGATATTTAATTTCTTGCAAATGGCTTTTAGAGTAGGATTAGAAAGTAATATTTTTAAAGAGTAGAAACTATAAGTAATATACTTAAAATATATAATTATAAAGAAAATCAGAAATGAGAAAGGAATAAAAATTGTTATTTAATTCCTCTTAACAACCTTATATTTAATTGTTAATAGAGATCGTAGTTCTATACCTTATATTCCATAAAAAGGACTTAAAATGGTCAATTAATATCAAAATTATCCCTGTAATAAAATAATGGATGTTTTTCTAAAGTTTATTTATAAATTCTTGAAGTTCCAAAAATTTAATTTAAAATATTAAGAGATAAAATTTAAAGTGAAAGCCATTTATAATAAATTTAAAGGTTATGCTGGACAACAAAAATTTAGTTTTTTTTACCTATAAATTAATGTTAAAAATTCATGACATTTGATTTTAATCTTGATTCTTTAATCATCTTCAACTTGGAGCATTTTTATAATTGGTAATAAAGTGTAATTCATTCTTGGCTTCTCTTATTGAGATTCCAAAACTACTGCTTTGAAATAAATATGTAAATTTTATTACAAATTTGGCGCTGTGAATTGTAAAATAAATGAAAAGGAGCACTGTTTCATTAATATATAAATTCGAGATATAGGTAAAAACAATTGAATTTAGTAAACTTCCTTAATTTTAAATGATTATACTTATAATTTAAGTAATTATTGTGTCGATCAATATTGGAAAGACCTATTTGTTTTGTATGGATGCAAGGAATATAGTTATATAGAGATTTATTTAGTAAAATTTCTGTTTTTTTTAAGTGGATTTTATCCAAATAACAGTCTTTTATAATTTAAATTCAATTTTCTTAGTTAAATGAAAAGGGTTTTTCCAGAATACAGGGGTATGATTTCTTCAAATTATGTGAAATATATATATTTAGTTTATAATATTTGTTTTTTGCCCTCAAAAATATGACCCTNTTAAAATAAAACTATTATGTGCCCTTATAAAAGAAGAGTTAAGGTGTAATACAGCTTTTTTTAATCTCAGATTATCAAATCAAAAGGGATTTATAAAATATTACCATGACTTAGAATGATGCAAGCTGCCTATCCATTTTTTAGAACTATAGTGAAATGGATGTTAGTTTATACAATAATCATCTCATTTTCTTTTTGTAGCATTTTGGTACAACTAATTACATTCAATAACTTTTTGGAAAGTTTGATTTACATGCTTCATCTTTGAATTATAATGGGTGAGTCTGCGGATCTATCTGAGAATGCACTCTAAAGTAAGTGTCTACTCCAAACATCCATCTAAATCACCACGCTATATCAAACTTTCTCATCAATATACTTCTGGCTATTCTTTTGCTATTCTTGAAAATTGGCTGAAGTCAATTCATTAGGCTGGGTTAGAAGTAATAGTGTGAGATATTTAATTTCTTGCAAATGGCTTTTAGAGTAGGATTAGAAAGTAATATTTTTAAAGAGTAGAAACTATAAGTAATATACTTAAAATATATAATTATAAAGAAAATCAGAAATGAGAAAGGAATAAAAATTGTTATTTAATTCCTCTTAACAACCTTATATTTAATTGTTAATAGAGATCGTAGTTCTATACCTTATATTCCATAAAAAGGACTTAAAATGGTCAATTAATATCAAAATTATCCCTGTAATAAAATAATGGATGTTTTTCTAAAGTTTATTTATAAATTCTTGAAGTTCCAAAAATTTAATTTAAAATATTAAGAGATAAAATTTAAAGTGAAAGCCATTTATAATAAATTTAAAGGTTATGCTGGACAACAAAAATTTAGTTTTTTTTACCTATAAATTAATGTTAAAAATTCATGACATTTGATTTTAATCTTGATTCTTTAATCATCTTCAACTTGGAGCATTTTTATAATTGGTAATAAAGTGTAATTCATTCTTGGCTTCTCTTATTGAGATTCCAAAACTACTGCTTTGAAATAAATATGTAAATTTTATTACAAATTTGGCGCTGTGAATTGTAAAATAAATGAAAAGGAGCACTGTTTCATTAATATATAAATTCGAGATATAGGTAAAAACAATTGAATTTAGTAAACTTCCTTAATTTTAAATGATTATACTTATAATTTAAGTAATTATTGTGTCGATCAATATTGGAAAGACCTATTTGTTTTGTATGGATGCAAGGAATATAGTTATATAGAGATTTATTTAGTAAAATTTCTGTTTTTTTTAAGTGGATTTTATCCAAATAACAGTCTTTTATAATTTAAATTCAATTTTCTTAGTTAAATGAAAAGGGTTTTTCCAGAATACAGGGGTATGATTTCTTCAAATTATGTGAAATATATATATTTAGTTTATAATATTTGTTTTTTGCCCTCAAAAATATGACCCTATTTATATGATACTTAAAGATTTCTTCATGCTTATTTCATAATTTTATTCGATATGAATATTAAAGTACATATAAAATTTAAAAAATTAAGGTGAGATTATTCCTTTCAAATTGTAACTTTCATTTAGATTAAAATCTTGCAGGCATTAATATCATAGATTGCTATTTACTAATTGTCAAGAATATCGTTCGAAATGTATTGAATTTAATCAAGATGCTGTAATCTACTTAAAATATCATAATTCAGTTATGATTAAAAAACAGAGAAAACCTTTATGTATCTATTAACCCCTATGAATGGCAAATCAACTATTTTTAACTTTTTAAATTCGCCAAATCATTAATTTATTAAAAGCTGCAATCGCTAACAATGCAAGGAATTTTTTTTCTATACAGAAATTTTATTTTGATGTCATATTTGGCAAAGCATATTTAAAAAATGTAAAATTATCTAAATTAAAGACTTACTTAAGCTAAAAGATAATGATATTATATCATAAATGTACAAATTTAAATAGCTCAAGATTATTTTTTTTTTTTTTATTTACTACTCTTTCTAATTGATCCTTTTACTGAAATATCCCATTCTAGAAATAGACATAAGATGTCCAATGGGACTTCCCTCTAAATTTGGCGACATCTAAATTTACAAATTATAGAAAAAGGAAGAGCAACATAGTATAATTGTGCCCTTATCTCAGATTTGATAGGTATTATTTTGATATTTAGTATTAAACAGCTTATTCAACTTGAGAATTTGAACACTCTAAAATATTCAACCATTTAAGACTATTAATGATATGATTATGAGGAATGCCCAATAAGATTGGAATTCTTTTTATAATAAGATTTTTCAATTAATCTTTAGATAAACTCTTTGATTATAGAATAGGAGAAATAAATGATAAATTCGAAGAATGAACTTTATCTTNTTTCTTCATGCTTATTTCATAATTTTATTCGATATGAATATTAAAGTACATATAAAATTTAAAAAATTAAGGTGAGATTATTCCTTTCAAATTGTAACTTTCATTTAGATTAAAATCTTGCAGGCATTAATATCATAGATTGCTATTTACTAATTGTCAAGAATATCGTTCGAAATGTATTGAATTTAATCAAGATGCTGTAATCTACTTAAAATATCATAATTCAGTTATGATTAAAAAACAGAGAAAACCTTTATG